CCCCCCCCCCCCCCCCGGCCTCTGCAGTCTGTTGCCCTCCTCTCGCTTGGAGCGGCACACGGGGGTCCTTGGACAGGATGCCTGCCTGCCTTTTACACGGAGCAGCCCCCTCCCCCTTGGACGCGGCACCTGTCCTTTTCCTTCGCCAGGTGTTTAGTCCTCTCCCCCCCCCCCTTTTTTTTTCAGCCAAGACCGGGGGGGTTGCCCCCTCCGACCGTTCCTTTCGCCCCGCCACTTCCCAGGAGCAGGCGTTGCTGTTGCAGGCCTCGGTCCAAGGTAACGGCCGAGGGGGATGGGGAGGAGGGGGCTGTCCAGGTCCTGCCTGGCCACATCCAGGGACCGGAGCGGCCTCTTGGCCATCGGACCTGCTTCCCCAGAGCTCTTGAGTGTGTGCGCGCCAGGGAAGGGGCCCGTCAGGACTGGGTCCCCCTGGGTAGCTGAGTGTCGCCCCTCCTCTTCCTTCCAGAGGCGGACAAGGGGCTGCAGCCAGCGGAAGGGCTGCCGGTGGGCTCCCTCACCATCTACGTGATCCCGCACGGCTCTCTGCTCCTGCCCCAGGTAGGCTGTCTGGCGCCCTCCGTTACTTTCTTAGTTTCCTTGATTGTCCTTGCACCCCGTACGACGAAATCAAGCACCATCTTCCATGTACAGTTTATGACCATGGAAATAAACACAAACACGCCTCCTTTGCATTCTGTACAATTGAATTGAAAACTCCTCTGATGTTGCCATAATATGGACCTCTACGGTAGAATTCAATAGAGTTACTGCCCTGGGATGGAAGCTGCTTTTCAGCCTATTTGTCCTTGTTTTTATTCTCCTGTACCGTCTGCCAGATGGCAATAGTTCCAAAAAAAAGGGTTCCCAGGATGAGATGGATCTTTGAGGATGTTTTGAACTTTCTGAAGGCAGCGGGAGCTATAAAGCTCTTCCAAAGAGGGGAGAGGGCAACCCAGGATCCTCTGAGGGGCAGTGACGTCCACCCTCTGGAGTGACATCCTATCTCTGTCCCTGTGCAATTGGCAAACCACACGCAGGTGTGCAGTAAGCTAAGATGCTCTCTCTGGTGCAGCGGTAGAAGGTCCCCAGCAGTTTCCCATCCAATAGTTGTTTCCTGAGAACAAGAGTTTGGCAGAAAATCCCCAGCCTTGCGGAAGATGGAACCGTCCTCGTTTTGCAGCGGAGCATTTAGAAACAGCGCTCCGTGCCGGGCCTGTGCAAATTCCCCTCGGAGGGGCGGTCAGTCATTTGGCCCCGTCCAGCTGGCCGAGGGCCAAAGGCCGCTGGCAAGTCTGCCTTATCTTAACAGAGAACAGATAAACAGAGCTGGAAGGGACCTTGTAGGTCATCTAGTCCAACCCCCCATCCAAGCAGGAGACCCCACACCATTTCTGACAGATGGGAGTCCAATCTCCTCTTGAGAGCCTCCAGGGACGAAGCTCCCACAACTTCCGAAGGCAACTTCTGTTCCAGGGGTTGATTGTTCTCACTATCAGAAAATTCCTCCTTATTTCCAGGTTGAATCTCTCCTTGTTCAGTTTCCTTCCATTATTCCTTGTCTGGCCTTCAGGGGCCTTGGAGAATAGCTTGACCCCTTCCTCCTCCTCTCCGGGGCAGCCCCTCCCTCAAATATTGGAAGATGCTCTCCTGTCTCCCCTGGTCCTTCTCTTCCCTAGACTAGCCAGGCCCAGTTCCTGTAACTGTCCGTCGTATGTTTCAGCCTCCAGTCCCCTCATCCTCCTGGTTGCTCTTCTCTGCACTTTTTCCAGAGTCTCTTTTTTATAGTGTGGTGACCAAAACTGCATGCAGGGCTCCAGGTGTGGCCTTACTAAGGCTTTACAGGGTGGGATTAGTGCCTCCCTTGATCTTGATAGCTCTTGGTCTCTTTCCGGCAGGGGTCAGAGATGTACATTGGGAAGCACCGGAGCGCCATCCTCAGGGCCCCCCCGGGGGCAAAGGACCTGCTGGGGGCCCTGAATGACCGGCTGCAGCAGCTGATCCAGGCCATGTCCTTCACCCCCGAGACCCTTGTGGAGGCCCTGGCCGACCGAGTCCCATTGGGCCAGCCGGGAGCCGAGTGGAAGCGCCCCTTCAAGTCCAGTTTCGGTATGGCCAGACCCTGGGAATGGGGGGGGAGGGGAAGCTTGAAGGAGAGGGGGGCAGCCCCCGCCCCACTGCGTCAGGTCCTTCTCCATTTTTTTTAATAATATTTATCTTTTCAGTTTCAAAAACACAAACGTTTCATTTTTCTTTTTTTCTCAAGCATTGTGTCTGGGCTTAAACACCCCTTTGCCATATCCATCACCATTTACAATGGGGGTCCCCAACCTTGGCCACTTTAAGACTTGTGGACTTCCACTCCCAGAATTCTGGGAGTTGCAGTCCACAAGTCTTAAAATTGCCAAGTTTGGAGACCTCTGATTTACAAGGTCATTCACGTTCACATTGATATTCTCTAAGCTTAGAATTAAGATAACATCACACAGCTAAACATTATACAGCTCTTCTAATGATGATATTGAAATTATATCTTATTGTTCTCATCCTACATATAGGTAGGTAGAATACTTTATTGGCCAAGTGTGATTGGACACACAAGGAATTTGTCTTTAGTGCATAAACTCTCAGTGCACATAAAAGGTACATTCGTCAAGAGTCAAGAATCATCAGGTACAACACTTAGTGATAGTCAGGGAGTACAATAAGAATAGAATAGAAGGATATAGGAATAGAATTTAAATAGAATGGGATGGGATAGAGATAGAATAGAACAGAATAGAATAGAATAAAATTCTTTATTGGCCAAGTGTGACTGGACACACAAGGAATTTGTCTTGGTGCAAATGCTCTCAGAGTACATTTGTCAAGAGTCAAGAATCATCAGGTCCAACACTTAATAATTGTCATAGGGTAGAACAGAACAGAACAGAATAGAACAGAACAGAACAGAATAGAATAGAATTCTATTAGCCAAGTATGATTGGACACACAAGGAATTTGTCTTGGTGCAAATGCTCTCAGAGTACATAAAAGAAAAGATTCATCAAGAATCATCTGGTCCAACACTTAATAATGATAGTCATAGGATACAATAAAAATAGAATAGAATAGAAAATAGAATTCTTTATTGTCCAAGTGTGATTGGACACAGAAGGAATTTGTCTGGTGCAAATGCTCTCAGTGCACATAAAAAGAAAAGATACATTCATCAAGAATAATCAGGTCCAACACTTAATGATAGTCACAGGGTACAATAAGCAATCAAATCACACCGGGAAACAGTCCATATAAATCGTAAGGATGCAAGCAACAAAGTTACAGTCATAAGTATATAATAACAATTTTTGTCTTTTTTCTATATCTTCATTTTCTAGTCTCCTTGATTCTTCATTTCCAAATTCCCTTTCTATTCTCTTAATAACCATTGATAAAATATTTTCCACATCATATAATACTCAAGATTGCTCTTCCTCCTTGGTTGCCAGTGTTTGTCCATTCATCTCTGCACATACTCTAATACGTTCCCGATTACTGAGTCCTTCTCCAAAAGGGTTAACCTCTCCCCGCTCCCAACCTCTGCGGATGCCACGCGTTAAATGTACAAATAAAAATAAAAATACAGGGGCTCATCAATTTATCACCGTAATTGAGCCCAGAGTTTCTGTTAATTTGTTAAGTGAGTTCACATGTCCTTCCCATCCCAACAGGCCTGTTTTCAGGCCTCCCAGCCAGTCGCACCCCAAGAAAACCCTGGAGGTTTGTAACCTGAGATTGGACAGATGTTTGTCTAAACGGGGTGTAGCGCTTCCTGGGGTTGGACTAGAACAGGGGTCTCCAACCTAATTTTTGTTGCTTTTTTCACCTTTTACACATATTGATCTTGACTTTAACAGTACTGTGTCATCATCATTACACAAGTTGTTATACATACCAATTTCATGTAAATATCTAACATAATCAGAGTTGGAAGGGACCTTATAGGTCATCTAGTCCAACCCCGCACCCAAGCGGGAGGCCCTACACCATTTCTGACAAATGGCAGTCCAGTCTCTTCTCGAAGGTCTCAAGTAATTTTCTTATTTCCTTTCTCTTTCTATTGTTCAACCATTTATACCAATTATATAGATTTTGTAATACTCCGACTCTTCTTTCTCTTTTAGTTTTAATGTCAATTTGTCCATTTCGGCACAATCTAGAATCTTTTGAATTACTAATTCTTCAGAAGGCATTTCATTTTGTTTCCAACATGGTGCGTAAACTATTCTTGATGCTGTCAAAATATGTAGTAACCTATATTCAATCATCTTCCTATAATTCCCCTTAGTTATACCCAACAAAAACAACTCCAGTTTAAATTCCGTTCGCTCTTCCGCTATCTCTTTTAAGCCATATTTTAGTCCAATATTTTTGGGCTTCCGGGCATGACCACCACGTATGATGGAAGGTACCTTGTTCTCTTTAAATGGGCCTGGGGAGGCTCCTGACCCCCCCCCATTCCTGGTTCCCCTGCAGGTTATGAGATCACCTTCAGTTTGCTGAACCCTGACCCCAAGGCCCACGACGTGCACTGGGACATCGAGGGGGCCCTCCGGCGCTTCGTGAAGCCCCTCCTGGAGAAGCTGAGCCCGCTGGCCGAATTCTCGGTGGACTCTCAAGTGGGTGAGGCCAGAGGCCGCGGGGGGGGCAGCCGGACCCTCTGCCCGGCCCAGGCTGATGGGCCCTGTTTCTCTCCCCACCCCAGATCCTCTACTACGCAGCGCTGGGAGTTACGCCCCGCTTCGACTCTGCTTCCGCCAGCTACACCCTGAGCGTGCACAGTCTCCCGCATGTCATTAACCCCGTGGAGGCCCGGCTGGGTAAGCCAAGGCGACGCCATCTCAGTTTGGGAGCTTGCTAAGCCCCCCCCCTCCTCTCCCCATGGGGCCTCCCCGGTCTTGGGCAGAGGGCCGGCCTGGGGCCATGGGTTGGGGGCTGTACGGCTGGATCGGAAAATAATATATTTGTCCTAGTTTAATTCAAAATAGCAGGATGAGATGGAAAGGAGGCCACCAGGAGATCTGGAGCTGAGGTTAGGGCTGGGAAGGAAAGGCCTCTTTCCAACAGTTGCCAAGAAGACTTCAGAAATGGGCCCGCCTTCCTTCCTTCCTTCTTCCTTCCTTCCTTCCTTCCTTCCTTCCT